GTTGGTCCAGTAAGTGTTGTTGTTGGTCGGAATATTATTATAGTTCATCGTGTAAGTTGCTAGTGTGGAACATTTAAAAAAGTAACACTGAAGAAGTGACGTTTACTGTTTCTGTTGATTACCGTCTTCGCATTTCGCATGAAATGAAACATGAGTGTTGATGAGGAGTTCAGTGCCGTATACGGACAATATTTCCATGAAAAGGATGATGAAAACGATGATGAAAACTATGAAGAGAGCGATGATGATGAAGACGAAGTATGTGTATCTCAGGCAGAAGATGATACCGAACAAACTTTTGTTAAGATGGACCTGTATGTTGTTGATGTAAAGGAGGAGGAGCTGGTAACAAAATTTCTGTCAAAAGATTGTTGTAATAATGAATGCCATACACTGATACCACGGGAAATGATCGAGAGTACGCGGAACAATTGTTTAGATATGTCGAAAAATGAACTTGATTTAGTGATACTAAGTCACATCGAAGCTGGAATTATGAGTAACGAAAAGCTATAAAGTGTATACGCAAAGCTTGCTGGACGGAAGAAATATTGACAGAGGCAGGATACAGAAGTTATGAGGCATAGAATTCAATTTACCTTCTACAGAGTACCTGTTTGTTGTTCGTTTTTCCTTTTTGTACATGCCTGTACGACGAAGCGTTACGAAAATTTTGTACGTCATTTTCACGCACAGGGTGTAACAGTGCGCCAATACGGACTGGCAAATAAACCGAGTACACATCCAAAGTCATTTAAACCGGCTGACATCGAAAAAGCTGTTAAATTCATCGAGTCTATAGCCGATATAATGGCTCTTCCACTGCCCGGACGACTCCCAAAATTTAAGGATTTTCGGATAATGAAACTGCCATCCAGCGAGACGAAGTCCTCAATTTATTGAAAATACATTTCTTCACTCAGTGATGACGAATTGAAGATGAGTAATTGCAGTTTTCGACGGATATGGTCCAAATACATACCCCATGTTACAGTTATGAAACCAGCGGATGATCTCTGCGATGTCTGCCGTGGTAAGTAGCTCATTATGTTCTCATTTTATAGTTGTATCAAACGTTGAGATTAAATTCAGTATTTTTTCTTTTAATAGGAAACACAATATCGATTGCGCAAGCCAAAGGTGTTACTGACATTGAACGCGCACAGAAGCTTATCAATTTCTTGATCACCTCCACCGAGCCCGAAATCAACGAGAATATTATCAAAGTTGGTGTAGAAATACTGACCCTACAGCAGTCATTCTGTCATTTGATTTTGCCCAAACCGTTCACTACCCTGTCAGTCCACAACAACCTGGTACAGCATACTTCAAAGCAACCAAGAAGTGCGGAGTCTTCGGAATTACAGACGAAAAACAAAAAGTTCAGGTTAGAATTTCAAACTGAATCATAGGAACTCAAATTGCTCGCCTTTACAGGATCTTACTTATATTTTTTTGTTTACAGTACAATTACATGATAGACGAAAAAGATGACGTTGGTAAAGGACCTAACTGTGTTGTGAGCATCCTGCATTATCACCTGCAAACCTACTATAAAGACATTGAAACACTCGTCCTTTTCTGTGACAATTGTGTTGGGCAGAATAAGAATAACACTGTACTATCATATCTGCAATGGTGTTTGGCTCGGGGTCTTAACAAAACTATTTTATTCAATTTTCTACTTACCGGGCACACTAAGTTCGCGCCTGATCGTTACTTCGGTATTTTCAAAAGTAAGTATGCCGTCAGTAACATCGACACGTATGCAGATTTACTGCAGTGTGTCGAGGCATCATCACCTGGGGGTTATAATAAAGCTGTATCGGCTGAAAAAGTCGTCTGGTATGAATGGGACAGCTATTTTAAACCACTGTACAAGTCACTTGTTGGAATAACGCAATTCCATCATTTCATAATCTCTACAGATTGTGTAAAAACAAAGAAATTCGCAGACAGTGAAGAAGTGCAGTCTTTTAAGCTTCTGTTAAAACCTATCGATCCTGAAATGCCGAAAGTTATACAACCAGCCGGTTTATCTTTGGAACGTCAGTGGTACATCTATCACAGTCTTCGCAGCTTAGTTTCGGATATATCTAAAGTAGATATTGTGGCTCCATTGCCGAAAGATTTGCCATCGAAGAAACGGAAGGCAAGAACTAGTGAAGATGTTCTCAAACCTGACGAGGAACCAGGTCCATCTTCCTCAGGATCAACACGTAAAAAGATCTCAAGGAAAACGACAACAAAGAAAAATACATAAACTACTCAGCATTATTGTTTTTGGCCCATAATACGTTTTTCTAGTGTATAATCATGTCTTTATAGCTTATAATTCAATGTATTTTGTTCATTACCAATAAATTATATTTTGTCGTATTTTTACTCTTCTTTCTCTACATTTTTAGTACACTTCTAAGCAAGTTAGGATTTTCTGCTTTTCACCACGTGAAAAAGCATCTCATCTTCCATCCGAATCAACCAAAAAGTGAAAATTGATTTTTAAACACCTAAGCCCCCTTTCCGTAGACCAGGTCACATATGTAGAATCTTAATTTTTCAATTAAAACTTGTAGAAAGGAAAAGGCAGAAATGGGTCCTTCCGGTGGGTCGCCTACTACATGGGTGCACTATGGGAGAGTGCACCAAATAATTGGAGGGTTCAAGTCAAATCTGCACACGGAGCTCACGCTTGAAAGCATTGATGGTACGTATGTTTTCGTTTATTTGGAATCACTTGCATATACGTACGAGTATATATCGTCCCCCGTAAGCCAAAAAAGTGAATGTGCAAAAATTAAAATTTTGGGAAGTTCATGTAATTAGCATTCTGAAATATGTGCTATCCGTGTATGCATTGTATTCTTGGTTTACACAATAACACAATAGGGGTATTCTCTGAGTCTTGCAAAGCCCTTGCACGGTGCACGGATTGCACGGTTTGCAAAGCTGTCCCATACGAAAACCGGTTTTTACCGTGCAATCTGTGCAATATGTGCACCATGCAAGGCCTTTGCAAGACTCAGAGAATACCCGTAATAACTCAAAATATGGTAAATTTGCACATTTATGTTTCTGGCCCACACAATTTTGGTGTGATAATGTGCAAGTTTTTTAACACAATAGGGCTGTTCAGGATGTTGTGGAAATGGTTTTAGATTTGCAGTTGGAATTGCAACTGTCATTTTTTTGCTTGCTGCCATGGCAACCGCGTGCATTTTATTGTTGTGAATTTACAAATGCAACGACTATGCAAATCCAAGAGCATGTGCACAATATTCTGAACGGCCCTAATTTATTTTTATACGGAAGAAACCCGCGACAACTTCAGCGGGGAAAAAAATCAACTTAAAACTTGCACTTTATTGTTCTTAAATGTAATGGGCCACAAAACTCCGCACTCGAAAATTTCCTAAAAAGTCTGATTAAAATTTTTATTGCGGTATAGAGGTATAGCGGTTCAAAAGTTACAACACTTCAAAGTTGAAAGTGGATACATTTGTACCCGGGTGTGTGTTCTAGGGTTAAGAAGAAGCATTCAGTTACGATAGGGAAGTTAATTGCAAAACAATAACTACAAGAACTGCATTTCGTTTGTAAGTACCGGCCCTTTAGAGTGGAAGCAATTAAAATAAATACAAAAAAACATTAAAATAAGTAATTAACCATTGTTTTTTCAGCAATGGTGCAATACCATCTTCAGAATTCACCCAGTGGATATAAAACTATTTTTTCCAGCCTCAATAAAATTTGGACTTACAGACAATAATCAATCGCTATAACTTTGAAGGGGTAATTTGTGCGAGGTTTTTTAAATGAGAAACATTTAAAGTAATACTTCCATCACTCAGTACATTGGTATAACGCCTGGGCGTTCAAAAATCCAACCCCCAATCAAAGGGAAGTCGAAAAACAGCGATCGTCTCGAACGCGAGATATATTTACCTGAAAGGTAATGTCATTATCCAAAACATGTAGTATTTGTAACAATTTATTGCAGAAAAAAAAAAA